ATTTATGGATGGTTGATAGATGGATGATGGATGGATGAATGGATAGATGGATGGATGGCTGAATGAATAGATGGATGATGGATGGATGAATGGATGGATGAATGGATGGATGGATGATGGATGGATTTATGGATGGTTGATAGATGGATGATGGATGGATGAATGGATAGATGGATGATGGATGGCTGAATGGATAGATGGATGATGGATGGATGGATTTATGGATGGTTGGATAGATGGATGATGGATGGATGAATGGATAGATGGATGGATAGCTGAATGGATAGATGGATGATGGATGGATGAATGGATGGATGAATGGATGGATGGATGATGGATGGATTTACGGATGGTTGGATAGATGGATGATGATGGATAGATGGATGAATGGATGGATGGATGATGGATGGATTTATGGATGGTTGGATAGATGAATGATGGATGGATGAATGGATAGATGGATGGATGGATGGATTGCTGAATGGATGGATGGATGGATGGATGATGGATGGTTGAATGGATGGATGGATGGATAGATGGATGGATTTATGGATGGTTGGATAGATGGATGATGATGGATAGATGGATGGATGATGGATAGATGGATGGATGGATGGATGATGGATGGATGGATGATGGATGAGTGGATGGATGAAAAAGTCTGAACCTGAATTTGGTGAAACTAAACTAACAGAACAAGGAATCTGGGTCAGAAAACAAATCCAGTTTTAGGAAAAACAAAAGAAAAGAATCAGAATCAAAGACAAATCCTGAGAACCAGGACAGATGTTAGCAGTAGATTCTGCAGACCCGGGTCTCTGTGGACCGGGTTTGGTTTTCACAAATACCATCAGTTTGGTACTTGAGAAGCTCAGGGGCTGGATGATGATCTCAGACTCTTGTGATTTTGATCCGCTCCTCCGTCATGTGAGGAGATGCTGCTGCTGTGGGGGAATGTTGTAACCCGACAGATCTTCAGTTTGTGCTTAGAAACAGGTCGAGTCTGAGAAAAAGGATCTCTGGTTACCGACCAAACAATCCTCCTTCAGACCTGTACGTCACCTTCAAACTCTCACCATCCCAGAAATAAATTTGTCATTATGAGAAAAGCAAAATGTGCAGAATGAGGTTAAACTCACACAGGCAGAGCCCTGAATCTGTTCAGAGAGCACATTAATCGCTTTAGATCTGCTTCATTGATCCTGTAAACTGATCCTGCAGACAGAGGAGAGGCTCCACACAATCTGCTCCTTTAAGGTGGATCTGGGCTTTCAGTCTCTCCTGCAGCAACACAGAAACGCAGCAGCACGCATAATGACAGCAGATTAGTCATCAAGAAATGTTCATGCATGCATACACGATCACACACACACACACGCTGATGCATCAGTGTGTTGCAGAACGGAGCGTTGCTCTTCATCCTGCCCTACATCTGCTTCATCACAGCTCAGTGACCCACTCTGTCTGTGTTGTGTTCATGAACAGGAAATAAGTTGGGTAATTGGATGTTAACTTCCTCAGATCATCAGACGCAAAGAAAATAAAATAAGTGTTTGTTCTCCTTGTCTGAGGGGTGACCTGAAGCAATCTGCCCCACCTCGCGTCGATCTAACGCTGTGATTTTTAAATGAATAATACACGTGGATTAGGGAGAGATTATCTGCAAAGAAAAGTGCAGAAAAGAATCAACTGAGGCTCAAAATGACGTTAGAAAACACAAAAGAAATTACTTCAACTCGGCCAATTTTGACGACCATCAAAAGCAAAAATTACAAAGCACACACACATCTCTGATTAGTCACCTGGTCTCACGTTTCACTTAATAATCTGTTTTATTCAAACAAGAAATAAAGAAAATCAGCCGTAAGGTGAGTCGATCCAACTCGTTCCCATCTTAGACTCAGAAATTGTGTTAAAACGATCAGAAAGCAGGTTCGAGTTCCCCCCTGCAGCGTTTCTCATTCTAGTTTGGATCTGCTCTAAAGCGTTTGACACAGTTGATCATTATACACTCTTACAAAAGTTGATTTCTTTTCAACTTTCATCATCTGCAATACAAATGTTTTCCTCTTATTTGACTGATAGGTGTCAGGTTGTGAAACATGGAAGCTYTGTGTCCGGGTCTCTGCCCTGTTCCRTGGGAGTTCCACAGGGTAGCATACTGGGCCCATTGCTTTTCCTATTGTACATAAATRACCTTCCAAAAATATTGAAGTATTCAAATATTTTAATGTATGCTGATGATACTGTTCTTTTTTTGTCTGATTTCAATATTGAATCTATTAATAGTCAGTTACAAGCAGATCTTCAGACAATTCATGGTTGGCTTCAAGATAATCTTTTGTCAGTTAATGTTAAAAAAACTGAGTGCATGTATTTTTCCTCACCCAGGAGACATTTCAATRTAACAAATCAACTCACTTTTTTAAACTAACCCCTTGATATTGTCACTACCTACAAATATCTTGGAATTACTTTGGATCCTCATTTGACTTATCGTGATCATGTACAAGTCTTAACCACTAAGTTGAAACAGAAATTATATGTTTATTCAAAAATTAGATCCAATCTGACATCTTCTGTTTCAAATATCTATCTTCATGCCATTATACTCTCAACCATGTCGTACTGTTTACCTGTTTGGTCTCTTACAACAAATGAAATCTTAGAACCCATAGTTAGGCTCTACAACAGGGCCTACAAAATTCATAAAAAACTTCCTGGTTGGACTCATCACTGTACAGTTCTTTCATTGTCTGATGCCTTGACTTTTCAGAATTATGTTTTGTATAGTGGTATTAATTTATATTTTCAGATCTTCCAAGGTGCCAATTATGGAACTCTCTGTGCATTGTTGCCCAAATCAAATTCTGGAAGTGGTCATTCAACTAGATCTGTTACAAAAGGACAACTGATATTACCAACTTTTAAAAACTGTTACGGCCAGAGGTCTTTCTTCTATGTTTATACTAAAGCATGGAATGACATTCCTCAAAACATAAAGTCCATTTCAAAACTACAGCCCYTTAAGAAGAATCTTGTCTGCCATCTGCTG